GCGGTCAGCAGTACATGACCTACCAGTTTCTTATAGAGGTATTCCATTTACGGACATATTTTGCTGCAATATCTTCCCACCTTCACACACCGTTGGCAACAACGTTTGGTCTACTATGCTCGGCAACAAACTTCAGTCTATTAAACCGAGTAATAGGTTACTGGCCGTCTTCTTATCACCAGTGTCGAGGTTGGGAGACTACTCTCTCCCGTCTTCGCATTGGCCATACTCGTTCTTACTCATGGATATCTCATGGAGAGGCGTCTTGCTCCTCTCTGTTGAGGAATTGCCTAGCTCCATTATCAGTCAGCCACATTCTGTTGGACTGCCCACTTTATCAACGAGCACGCAGAATTTACCTCTGTCGTCGTCTTCGCTCCGCTGCTCTCTCTTTACCTTCCCTCTCGCTGATGGACCCACCTTTCATCCGGACTCTCTCATTGACTTTTTGACAACGACTGACTTACTTCACAAATTCTGATACCTTCAGCCCTTTCTACTTCAATCTCTTGCTACCTTCTACCCCCGTACTATCCCCTGCCCCGCTGTTTTCTGTAACCTGCTGATCATCCCCCCTCCCTTCTGCCATCCAATTCCCTTGCTTCCTTCCCTACCCTGCAGCACTGTATTGCCCTTGTGGCTTAGCGCTTCTTTTTGATTATAATAATAATAATAACTATAAAAAACACAAAAAACGAACATACCCTCTTGTTCAGGGTACAGGGTATTGGTTAAAGTTGTGTTACGTTATAGCATAACCAATAGTAATTCGGAAGGAACGTATGATTCCTTATACACAATAATCATGGGAAAACAGTATTCTTATATTATATTTATGTTAAAACCATCAAGTACAATAGTTTTGGTACAGAAAACAGAACAACACTCCACTAATGAAGGAAATAATTTTTTTAATTTTCCTATCATATAATATAACATGGAACCAATTGAAAGTTAACCCAGCCCACTTCCAATTATTATGAACACACATAAGTTCATACATGTAACATACGATGATAAATAAAAACAAAACACATGCTCTTATAGCATAAAGTACTCAACAAAAACTAATATCACACTCACATCAAAGGGGTTTGAGACCAAACCCTACTCATAATTTAACGCATCCCACATATGTTTATAAACCGAAACCCTTGTCCACAAAAGTTTTGGTATAAACCCTTTAACAAACATGGTATAAACCCTAGACCTATACATACTCTTAAAATATTACCACATAGAACCTCCAGCAGACAATAAAAGTTAAACATAATACAAGACAAGTAGTAAGTGTAAAGGCCGGTTTGTCTTGCCGGTCCCAAAAGAAATGACATGTACCTCAGAAAACTTATGTCTTGAATCCAAATTGCCATATCAGGTTTCTTAAAACCGAGATTCTAAGGGCTCATTATCCTGGCTATCAAGGAGAATTTCTTACACAGTGAACATAACCATCTGGGTTAGAATATAATCCTTGGAAGCTACTCTTATGTCACATTAATGCAAATCATTCCCGTGAAACATAGCTTACAATCCATACCAAACTGCCACTACCATTCCTCTTACACACCACAAATACTCCAGTGGCCATAAACCCCCCCTATCCCCCAAGAAGGAGACCACCCCTTTTCCCATCCTCAGGGACTCCGACAAAGGGTACCCACAGTGAGGCTCCTGTAACCTTCCGGGAAACTTTTTCCCAGAGCGCCCCATAAACCAGCATATTCCTGCACTTCGTCCTATAGATTCTAGCCGCCAACGCTTTTATCCTCATATCACCCTTTAAGGGGGGATAGGCCGTCGGGATTTGTACTCAGGAAGTTTAAGGAAAGGCAGGCGAAAACCACCTTGGCGTATATAGTGGCAGGAACAGGGAGGGGTGGATTTGAGGAGGGTCAAGGCCTATCCACCACAGAAAATATTAGTTTGTATGCTGATTTTTGGTTCAGGGAGAAATGGAGGAGGGTTGGTTGGGGAGTTGGTGAGGGACGTTTTGGGGATGAGGTGTTTAATAGGGTATTAAATGAGCAGGACAGTGAAAAGCTTGAGAGTAGTATTAGTGTAGAGGAGGAGGAGGAGGCAGTTTTCGAGCTGTGCCAAGGTAAAAACCCAGGTATAGACGGCATACCGAACGATTTTTGTAGGTGTCGTTGGGGGAAGTATGGCATTATCTGGTGGGGTTTTGAATTGTATGCTAAGTAGTGGGAGGATGGGAAAATCGCAAAGAACGGGTGTCACGGTTTTAGTGCCCAAAAAGAAGGAATGCCGAGTTTTGAATGATTATCGAGCGATTTCATTAATATGCTCGGATTACAAGATTTTTGCTAAGATTTTGGGCAACAGAATGAGGAAAGTGTTGGGTTTAGTGATACATAGGGGGCAGTTTGGAATTCCGGGAAGAAGGATGAGGGATGGACATGGTTTTATTAGGGATTTTCTAGAGGGTTGTACTGGAGGGGGAATACTAGGCTTGGATTGGGAGAACGCATATGATTGCGTGGATAGAGATTTCTTAGGGGTTTGCTTAGAGCGGTTGTGGTTTCGGGACAGGGTAGTGAGATGGGTGAACACCCTGTATGCTGAGGCAGAGGTGAGGGTACATGTCAATGGGAGGTTGGGAGAAAGTGTACCAATGGGGAGAGGTTTGAGGCAGGGTTGCCTGCTATCGCAGTTGCTTTTTGCATGTGTGCAGAATCCTTTTTATGAGTCTGTTGAGGGCATGATGGACAAACAGGAGATGGAGGGGGATGCAAAGGGGGCATAGTTGGGTATGTGGATGATACTACTGTTTTGCTCCGGGGTAAGGAGGAGTTAAGGAGGGTGGGTAGAATGATTCAGATGTTTGGTATGCATACGGGGATGCGAGTTAATACAGTGAAATCAAGGTTACTAGAGGTGGATAATTGGATAGGGGGCAGCCTTGGGGATGGGGTCAGGATGGACAGTGGTTGATAGAATACAGGGTATGTGGATTATGGTATATGGAGGAGGTGCAGGCCGGCAGGAGGGTAAATTCATAGTCTGTCACTGGTAACGTTTTAGGTAGACTTGGAGGCTTAAGTGCGAGGGACCTAGCTTTGCATCAGTGGGTAGTGGTGGTAAACTCACTTGTCTATAGCAAGGTATGGGGGTTGGCAGAGGTTTTTCCCTTAGAGGTACAGGACATTGTGGAAATGCAGAGGAGGGTGCTAAAGTTTGTGTGGGGGTTTGGGAGGGCATGGTTAAGTAAGGAGGTAATTATGACGGATGTTGCCTTTAAGACTGAGAGTAATGGCTATATATATCAAGCGGAGGTATATTAGGGAAGGGGGAGTGAGGGCAGCTAAATTAGGTAATGGTTATGGAGGAGGCACGTAAATGGTGAAGTGACAAGGACTTGAGGGTTTGTGAAGTTTATTTTGAGGTTTTTATTGAAAAGTGCAACAGGTGGACAACCTCAAAGTGAAAAGGTTGGAGAGGGTAGTGGGAGAACAGGGAAATTTGCAAGGGGTAGCTGTGTATCCAACATATGATTTGGGGGTCATTTGGAAGAATTTTAGTAAGCTTAGGATACCGGCTAGAGTAAGAGAATTAGTGTATCGATTCATCATGGGGATTCTGGCCTCCAAGGGGGTTTGTTACGATGTATGGGGTTCATGGAGAGGCTTTTTGTCAGTTTTGTGATGATTTTGAAACGGCATTTAATGTAGTCTTTTTTTGTCCCTCCTTGGAGGGGGTGAGATCATGGATGGGTGGGGTTATCAGATTGTTGGGGGGGACGTTTGCCGCTATTAAGGGCTTTACTATCAGATGTAAGTGGATGCCAAAGGATGAGGGAAGTGCCTAAGGATGGGGAATGAGAGAATTAAACATCCTCCAACCCCCACCTAACTCTAATTGCCTCAAACTTTTCTTTTATGGATCTTACCAACCTATTTCACAAACTTCAATGTCCCTCACTCTGCCCCACCATTTATTCTTCATAACAGTCATTTAACTGACCTTCAAGATAATTTTGTAGACCATAGTGCCACCTCACCATCTCCTTTCCCTGTACTTTAAAAAAGTTCTCAATTCCAACTTTAGCCCTCATTTCCCACCAATCCAGCAAATCCATCTCCCCATTCCTAGTCTCCCAAAAGGACTTCCACCAATCCTCGAATCCTGCAGCTTCACCCTCTTCCCTAAGTAGCCTAACATTCAATTTCCAGTATCCCACATAAACTCGCACTATACCATCTACTATCAAATCAGCTATAACAGCACAATGAGCAGAAAAAACCCAAAATCTATAGTCCTCACCCTCTCCACATCTATTCCCTGCCTAACAAAATCCTATCTAACTGAGCCTCGTATCCCTTACGAATAAAAGTTTTGCTCCACTCCATATCTCTATTTCCCCACCACATCTACAACTCCAACATCCCACAATACGTCTCTCAGAACCCCCAAAACACAACCCGCCCCCCTCAGAACCACATCCCCATTCCAAATTACACAATTCCAGTCCCCTCAAGCACCGTAATAGCCAGTAAACCTCTAAAATGATACACCAAGGGCCCATCGCGTACAAAATCCACCTTCACTCTAGCATTTCTAGTTTGCGGGCTTGTACAACCCCTACAAAAAAAACCCTCCCACCCCCCAAAAAACCCCATCCACCCTGACAACCCTCCCACCCTCCCTCCCCCCAACCTAGGACACGCAAAGGACTGGTCTCCTTTGCCGCCACAGCCACACCTTTCAACCTCAAAGCATCACTGGTAATCAATCTAAAAACCTTGAAAAACCCAAAACTCACATCCTAACCTATGGTTATGTTCCTGCAAAAAAACAACATCAATACTAAATCTCATTAAAAAAACACTCAAACCATACCCTCCTAAGACTGTTTACATTGAAAGTTACACACCTGAATATTACAAGAATGGCGGCTTGCCCCTATGCCGCTGAGGCTTACTTGGTCTCGGGCCATCTCTGCATTTCCCTTTTCCCTGCGCTCCAACCCCTCTCTGTCTCTTCCAGCCGATCTTCCCATTTCACCCCCCTCCCGGTCTTGCCGTTTCCACCACAGCTGCCCAAACCTTCTTCCCAGGGTGCTGCGCTGGTGTGAGGACCTCGTCCATGTCTGATGCCCCCACTGGTCTCTTGCGGGAGCTACCCTCCACACACATATCTTCTTCAATCACATCTTCTTGATGAACCTCCACCACCACATTGCTCTCCATTCTAACCTCACTCAAGTCTTCCTTACCCCTTTTCTGTTCATCCATCACCTCGACATCACCTAACCTCACGTCACCTTCCACACCATGCTCCGACTCTTCCAAAAAATCCTTCAGCACAGCTTCCAATATCCCTTCTTGAGCTGAATCTGTGTTACCCAACAGTCTGTCTGACAGTGATATTCCCCCCCTCCGTTTCCTCTGGGAGTGTGACATACGTCTCGAAAGCCACCTCTGATCATTCAACGTCTTCACTCCATAGGCCCTTTCCCCGGCCTTCCATATCACCCGTCAAAACGTCCAAGGCTTCTAACTGCTTGTCTTCAGAAGCTGTTTCTTGCACCCTATGGCCCTGTCTCCTGGGGCATTGTGCCGCCATGTGCTCATAAGAGTCACATAAATGGCACGTCCTCCTCTGCCCTGCAAAGTGTACAAAAACCTGAGCTCTATAGCCATGCAATGTGACGCATGATGGTATCAGCTGCCTCAGGGTCATTTTCAGTGTGAAGGATCCTTCTGGCAGCCCCTCGTACGGGCCGTCCCTCCACATTCCCATGCTCGCCGAGTGGACAGTCCCATAACCGCTGAACACATCCTGAAGGCTGTATGCTGTCGCTTCAAAACATACATTCCGTACCTTCACCCAAGTAAAATACTTAAAGCATCATGCATGCATACTTCCACTGCCGAATTTACGCTCATTCTCTGTTCTTGAAATTCGTCGACGATGCTGGAGTAGAAACCGGCCCTCATGAACTTCACGAAGACCCTTGTCATACCATTCAGTGCCACACTGTACAACTCTTCATTGGGGATTCCATAAACATCCTTGATAATGTTTGGGAGGAGAACGTTCATCGTGGCGCTGCTTAACGATCCCCTGACCAGCTCGATGCAGACAGTGTTTATACGCCGGCTCATATGGTCCACCATCTTGATGCTAATGCTATGTTTTTCTCACCAGGTCGCGTGCAAGAGAAACTGTAGAAGCGGCCTCTCTCCCCGTAGGTCGAGAGACGAATGAAATTGGTGACTTGAGGCAGCCTCCGCAGTCTGATGACTTGAGGTTACTATCACTAGTATATATCACTTGAAGTTACTATCACCAGTATATATCACTTGAGGTTACTATCACCAGTATATATCACTTGAGGTTACTATCACCAAAATATTCACTTGAGGTACTATCATCAGTTTTATATCATTTGAGGTTACTATCACCAGTATATATTACTTGAGGTTACTATCATCAGTATATCATTGAGGTTACTATCACCAGTGTTTTTCACTTGAGGTTACTGTCACCAGTATATATCATTGAGGTTTCTATCACCAGTATATATCACTTAAGGTTACTATCACCAGTATTTCACTTGAGGTTTACTATCACCAGTGTATATCACTTGAGGTTACTATTTATCAGTATATATCACTTGAGGTTACTATCACCAGTGTATATCACTTGAGGTTACTGCCATCAGTATATATCACTTGAGGTTACTATCACCAGTATATATCACTTAAGGTTACTATCACCAGTATATATCACTTGAGGTTACTATCACCAGTATATATCACTTAAGGTTACTATCACAGTATATATCACTTGAGGTTACTATCACTAGTATATATCACTTGAGGTTACTATCATCAGTATATATCACTTGAGGTTACTATCACCAGTATATATCACTTGAGGTTACTATCATCAGTATATATCACTTGAGGTTACTATCACCAGTATATATCACTTGAGGTTACTATCACCAGTATATATCACTTGAGGTTACTGTCACCAGTATATATCACTTGAGGTTACTATCACCAGTACATATCACTTGAGGTTACTATCACCAGTATATATCACTTGAGGTTACTATCACCAGTACATATCACTTGAGGTTACTATCACCAGTATATATCACTTGAGGTTACTATCACCAGTATATATTACTTGAGGTTACTATCACCAGTATATATCACTTGAGGTTACTATCACCAGTACATATCACTTGAGGTTACTATCACCAGTATATATCACTAAAAGTCAGTTTTGTCACAGGATGCGACCCACACCAGTCAACTAGCACCCAGGTACCCATTTTATACTTTTGGGTGAACATGGACAACAGGTGTCTTAAGGAAATGCGTCCTGTTTTCCAGCCGTACCGGGGATTCGAACTCCGGACCTCAGTGTGTGAGCTGAGTGCGCTAACGATCGAGCTACGGGGCACCACTATACGTAACTTTTCCAAGATTTTCTCTCTCCATCACAACAAAAAACTATGGCATGACTGTTATTAACTATGAACAACTAGTGTAGAAAGTTTACTAGAAGAGTATTTGCGACCACTGACAACTCTACAACTTTACTGTATTTCCACAAGTTGTACACTATTTCGTATTTCTACAAAACTGTGGTAGACTTACAGTTGGACGAATTGTACTAAAAACAGACTGACTTTCCGTTTGAAGTTATCTGGTAATTGCTGACACCTGTTTTACAACTAGGGTTTCTGGCTAGGTTCATCACTTCCCCTCTTATTTACCACCACAATATTTTTATGATATACCTTATCCTACATTATGGTATCACTGCGATATACACTATACCACTGTGTATTAAAACTCTGCTATCTCACAATATTTTAATACAGTATATTTATTTGCACACGAAACTGTTTAGGTTAAGTTAAGAACATAAGAAAGGAGGATCACTGAAGCAGGCCTGTTGGCCCATACTAGGCAGGTACTTAACAATCCATCCCACTAACAAAACGTTTGCCCAACCTAATTTTCAATGCTACCCAAGAAATAAGCTCTGATAACTCTATCCACTCATCTGCAAGTCCCACTCAAATCCAACCCCTCACTCATATATTTATCCAACCCAAATTTGAAACTACCCAAAGTCCTAGCCTCAATAACCCAACCAGGCAGACTGTTCCACTCATCAACTACCCTATTTCCAAACCAATACTTTCCTATGTCCTTTTTAAATCTAAACTTGTCTAATTTAAATCCATTACTGCGGGTTCTCTCTTGGAGAGATATCCTCAAGACCTTATTAATATCCCCTTTATTAATACCTATCTTCCACTTATACAATTCGATCATGTCTCCCCTCATTCTTCGTCTAACAAGTGAATGTAATTTAAGAGTTTTCAATCTTTCTTCATAAGGAAGATTTCTAATGCTATGTATTAATTTAGTCATTCTGCGCTGAATGTTTTCTAATGAATTTATGTCCATTCTGTAATATGGAGACCAGAACTGAGCTGCATAATCTAGGTGAGGCCTTACTAATGATGTATAAAGCTGCAGCATAACCTCTGGACTTCTGTTGCTTACACTTCTTGATATAAATCCCAATAGTCTATTTGCTTTATTACGTACGCTTAGGTTGCTGCTCACCATAACCCCAAGTAAGGTTTGTCAGGAAATAGGACAAGTGTTTCCTTACAGTTGGATCAAGTCTCCATAGCAGCTCTGGGTAAAGTCTTGGCTCTTTTTCTCGACTGTAGACTCTTCTTCACCATTATTCTTTGGCTATACCGTCTTCCCAGCTCAACCCACACGGGGTCTTCCCAGCTCACCCCACACGGGGTCTTTCCAGCTCACCCCACACGGGGTCTTCCCAGCTCACCACACACGGGGTGTTCCAAGCTCATCCCACACGGGGTCTTCCCAGCTCACCCCACACGGGGTCCTCCCAGCTCACCCCACACGGGGTCTTCCCAGCTCACCCCACACGGAGTCTTCCCACCTCACCCCACACGGGATCTTTCCAGCTCACCCCACACGGGGTCTTCCCAGCTCACCCCACACGGGGTCTTCCCAGCTCACCCCACACGGAGTCTTCCCAGCTCACCCCACACGGGGTCTTTCCAGCTCACCACACACGGGGTCTTCCCAGCTCACCACACACGGGGTCTTCCCAGCTCATCTCACACGGGATAGACTATTAATGGGGTCTTACACGGGGTCTTACCCAAACTCTCTTGATCTTGACCTTGGATCAAGCCTTAGTCATATGATGTTTAGACCTATGAACCTCCTGGTGGGTGTATGCACAACTTCCTGTTCTCACTATACTCTTTTTTCCTTTTTCTGACTCAGAGGGCACTATCATTTACTAGATTAGTCCTAAGCACTGGAGAGATTTACCTTATATGTTAACTGGCTCTGTTCTAGGCTTCTAACACAAAGATATTCTACGGTGGTGACGTGTACTTAGCTCAGTGGTGACGTGTACTTAGCTCAGTGGTGACGTGTACTTAGCTCAGTGGTGACGTGTACTTAGCTCAGTGGTGACGTGTACTTAGCTCAGTGGTGACGTTACTTAGCTCAGTGGTGACGTTGTACTTAGCTCAGTGGTGACGTGTACTTAGCTCAGTGGTGACGTGTACTTAGCTCAGTGGTGACGTGTACTTAGCTCTGTGAAGACCTGTTTGTGTGCTCTTGAGTGGTGACCTGTACTTTGAGTGCTGACCTGTACTTAACTCTGTGAAGAAGTGTCTTGTTTGCTCCGTGGACTGAACCAAGATGCCCTCCATCGAGCAACTTTACCAGCAACTTAAGGAAGAATTGAAGGCAGCGAAGATGGAGATACGGCGATTGACCGAGGAAAACAAGAGGATTCGTAGTAGTCCTCCTGTTTCGAGTCCTCAGGTCAAGAAGGGATCGTGGTCAGTGGCTGGACAGCAGGGGACGACGAAGTTGACGATCAGAAGACGAATGGAAAGCCAGAAACGATGAAGAAGAAAGAGACTGCTGTGGAAACTCCCGTGGAAACCTCCAACGCATTCTCGGTGCTACCCGACGAATGTGAGTCTACTACTGGGATCGTCACGACGAACGACAAGGAAGGTAAGAATATTGTTGTTGTTGGGGATAGCCAGGTTAGATACATGATAGGGCATTCTGCTTGAAGGACAGGAGTAGGAGACAAAGGGTATGCTTTCCTGGGGCTGGGATGGAGGACATTGTTAGCCGGCTTGACAACATCATGAACGGTAATGGGATCAATCCTATTATTTGCCTCAGTGCTGGAGGCAATGATGTAGGCAAGCGTAGAAGTGAGGATTTAGTTAGAAAGTTCAGGACAGCTATAGACATGATTAGGAAGAAGGGGAGGCGCCCTGTTATATGTGGCATTTTGCCAAGAAGAGGTGTTGGTAATGAATGGTTGTCCAGAGCAATTGGTATTAATTGTTGGCTGGATAAACACTGTAAGGATAATGCAGTACCATTCATTGACAACTGGGACAACTTCTATGGCCGAAATGACATGTATGCCAGGGATGGGGTTCACTTATCCAGGGCAAGTGTGGGTTTTCTTGCTAACTCAGTTGAGGGGGTTGTTAGGACTTTAAACTAGGATTAGTTAGAGGTATGGGTTTAGAAATGATTAATAATGAGTATGGATATATTGACTTATGCTCTGATATTAAGAATCTTTATAATAACTGTCATGGAGTAACTCTGGGTAATGATAATTTCAGAAATTGTGTAAAAACAAGATGAATATGAAAAATGTGCAGAAGAAAAAACATATGATGGTATTTTATGCTAACAGTCGAAGTGCAAGAAATAAAATTAATGAACTACGTTTGGTAGCATGTGCTGGGAACTTTGATATCATTGCATTAACTGAAACGTGGTATGATTTAAAGAGTCGGGATATGACTGCTGATGTGTAATATTCAGGGATTTAAGTTATTCAATGTGGATAGATGTAATGGGAAGGGGGGGAGGAGTTGCATTGTATGTTCGAGAAAATATTAATTGTTGCATAAAAAAAAGGTATAAAAATAGATGGAGCAGTAACAGAGTCTGTTTGGGTAGAGTTCGTGGAGGGTCAAGAAAAACTAATTCTAGGTGTAATATACCGACCTCCAGGCTTGGATCACGATAGAGGGAGACTTCTTTGGGACGAAATTGTTAGGGCTTCTGGACACAGTAACGTAGTCATAGTAGGGGATTTTAACTTTAGCCAAATTGACTGGAATTCTTTGGACAGGTAATCTAGAGTCCAGTGACTTCATGGAAACAGTTCAGACTGTTTTCTGAAACAGAGTGTAACTGAACCTACCAGGGGTAATAATTTGCTAGACCTAGTCTTGTCAAATAAGGAAACACTAGTGAATAATCTGGAGATCACTGAAGAGCTTGGCGCAAGTGATCACAAATCCATCACCTTTAGCATTAATTGGGAATGCAAGAATAATGATAATACAGTAAAAATCCCGATTTTCGTTCTGCCGATTATAATGGACTTAGGGAACATCTGTCTAATCTTGATTGGGGTTATCTAGCTAATGATTTTATTGACGATAATCATACTTATGAATATGAAGGGATCTGCTTTTATGATTGTTTTCTTAATAATGTACACAGTGCCCAGAGTATATACATTCCCCAGAGAGAAATTAGGTCTAATAATAACGATCCCAAATGGGTTAACAGGAGGTTAAAGCATCTATTAGGGAGAAAAGGGGAATTTATAGGCGCATCAGAAGAGGAGAGGTTAACCTTACTGACCAATATGTTCAGCTTAAAAGAGAAGTAAAAAAGGCGATTAGAAAGGCTAAACGTGACTATGAAATTAGAGTCGCTAATGAATCAAAGACTAATCCAAAGGGGTTCTTTCAAGTGTATAGGACGAAGGTGAAGGAAAAGTAGGACCTCTGAAATCTGGGAATGGACAGCTGACGGATAATGAAACTGGAAATGTGTTCCTTATTTAATGACTATTTTTGTCAGTTTTTACACAGGAAGATGTAAATGAGATTCCAGTAATTAACAATTATTAGTTCCTGATGAATTAGTTAACTAATATTACTGTCACGAGGGACATGGTTATTAAACAGATAGACAAACTGAAACAAAATAAGTCCCCTGGACCCGATGAGTTGTTTTCAAGGGTACTTAAGGAATGCAAGATGGAGCTTAGTCAGCCATTAACGAGTGTATTCAATGCGTCCATCCTTACCAGTGTTGTGCCAGAGATGTGGAAGATGGCCAATGTGGTTCCTATATTCAAATCAGGGGATAAGTCCACTCCTTCAAATTACCGTCCAATAAGCCTGACATCTATAGTGGGCAAGTTATTAGAATCAATTATAGCTGACATTATCAGAAGTCACCTTGAAGGCATAACTTGATAAATGAATCTCAGCATGGATTCACGAGAGGTCGTTCCTGCCTGACAAACTTACTGACGTTCTTCAATAGAACATTTGAGGCAGTTGACAGTGATAAGGAATATGATATTGTTTATTTGGATTTTAGTAAAGCCTTCGACAGAGTACCTCACAAGAGACTCTTAAGAAAAGTGGCAGCTCATGGTATAGGAGGTAAAGTTCTAGCATGGATTGAGGCAAAGGCTTACCAATAGAAAGCAGAGAGTTACCATTAATGGAGTGAAATCTGAATGGGGATTAGTCACTAGTGGCGTTCCACAAGGATCAGTTTTAGGCCCTCTCATTGTTCATAATTTACATTAATGACCTTGATGAAGGATTACTAGTGACATGAGTAAGTTTGCTGATGATACAAAGATAGGCCGTTATATTCACTCTGAGGAGGATATCAATGAACTCCAGGACGATTTGAACAAATTAATGTCTTGGTCTGAGAAATGGCAGATGAAGTTTAATGTGGATAAGTGTAAGGTACTTGCCCTTGGTAATGAAAATAACCCTCGAAGCTATAATCTAGGTGAAGTAGAGCTTGGTCATACAGAATGTGAAAAAGACTTGGGAGTCACGGTAAACAGAAATCTAAAGCCAAGACAGCAGTGCCTCGTGTGCGCAACAAGGCCAACAGATTACTTGGATTTATCTCAAGAAGTATAAGCAACAGAAGTCCAAAAGTTATTTTACAGTGAGGCCTCATTTAGATTATGCTGCTCAGTTTTGGTCCCCTTACTACAGGATGGACATAGACTCATTAGAGAACATACAGAGAAGAATGACTAAAATGATTTACTGTGTAAGGAACCTCCCGTATGAAGATAGACTTAAAGCCTTAAATCTCCACTCTCTGGAGAGGCGTAGAATGAGGGGAGATATCATTGAAGTGTATAAGTGGATGACGGGCATAAACAAGGGAGACATTAATAAAGTACTGAGGGTGTCGAACCAGGTAAGAACCAGGAATAATGGATTTAAGTTGGATAAATTTAGATTTAGAAAGGACATAGGTAAGTACTGGTTTTCTAACAGAGTTGTAGATGCGTGGAACAGTCTTCCCAGTGGGGTGATAGAGGTTAGGACCTTGGGTAGCTTTAAGAAGAGACTAGACAAATATATGAGTGGGAGGGGCTGGGTTTGATTGGTGTCAAGGGGTACGGGAGTTATTTCTTGAGTAGCTTTGGGTAGATGTCGTTTTGATAAGGACCTGCCTCGTATGGGCCAGTAGGCCTTCTGCAGTGTTCCTACATTCTTATGTTCTTATGTTCTTATAATCTACAAGAAACTATGCAGCCACACAGTAAGGAGAGGAGAAGTTTGAGGTAATCAGTCCCTCAACCTGGAATCGATGTGTTCAGTCCATCACTCTTGTAGGAAATGCAGCATAGGGCCAGAGAGGTGGCTTATATACTGCAGAACGGTGAGGTGAAGCAGGAGGAGGCGGGATCACAGTGGGAACTGCCACTAGTGTAAGTAGGTCGTCGTCCAAAGGTTGGGCAAGCGTTGAAGTCTTTGTACCAAGATCCCAAGATGTTGCAGTGTCTGACAGATGTGATGAATGGTTTTGAAAAACCGACAAGTTGAAGAATTGAGACACTTTTGCAACCCATGTGTTGCAAAAGTGTCTCAATTCTTCAACTTGTCGGTTTTTCAAAACCATTCATCACAGCCACACAGTACTTGACTTGTTATGGTGAGCACAGTATTCCTGGTGTTGAAAACAACAGTTGGATGAAGGGAAGGTGGAGATGTTGAACAGCAGCAAGTAACTATAGGTGAATCATCATCAACATGTACACAGGTAACTTCAGTTGCCTCATCAATAAGAGGTAAACAGGTAACTTCAGTTGTGTAATCATCAAGTACACGGATAACTTCAGTTCGAGTCATCTTGAACAGGTACACAGTTGTCATAATCAACGGGTACAAAGGTAACTACAGTGTTGTAATCAGTATTAGGTACACAGGCAAATACAGGTGTCATGATGAACAGGTACATAGGTAACAACAGGTATGTCATCATCAGTAGGTGCATATGTAACTACAGGTGCGTCATCGTCAACTCGTATACAGGCAAATAGAAGTGTGCCATCATAAAGTACACAGGTAACTACATACATGTAGTCAAAATCTGGTACACATGCAGCTACAGGTGTGTCATTATCAACAGGTTCTCTAGAATATCGTGTCAGCCCTGCAAATTGACAGAAGTGGACATTAGAAACATGATCCGTTACCTGGATCACCACAGTGTTAAGACGGAATACATCACATTGAACACCACCATCAGCATCCCAGAGAGCCAACAGCACCAACTGGTCTCCCTGGCTCAGAAAACCCTCAACTGTAAATTAAGTATGTGAGTGTCTGTGTAACTTGTTTCATCTTCCCTTCATGGTAACTACTGTTGCTGTCCTCATGGTAGTTGTCATTGCTGTCTACATGGTAGATGCCATTGCTATCTTAAGTAATTATTGACGTGTTTTATTTACAGAAGACATCAGCTTTAAAGCGTCTAGAACAACTACACAAAACTTGTCGTCAGTTGCCTCTGTTACCGCATCAACACGTTTGTTGGATCCTTGATGACAGTAGGATCAAGTCTGATCATCTTAATCAGTGCCGTACCCTTGATGACAGTAGGATTAAGTCTGAGCTGTCTATTAGGTGGAACTTTATAAGAAACCTGACTATATACAGAATAGCTTTATAGGCGAGCTGACCTTATACAGAGGACTTAATAAGAGAACTGTCCTTATTCAGAGAAGCTTAATAAGAGAACTGTCCTTATGCAGAGGAGCTTAATAAGAGAGCTGACCTTATATAGAGGAGCTTAATAAGAGAGCTGATCTTATATAGTGTAGACAGCATGTACTGTCTCCTTGATTCATATCCCGCGGCACTAGGGTGCTGCCCTCTGTAGGCCTGCCCAGGTCAGTGAGACGCGAAGCCTACCCGGTCTCACTCCACGGCCTACCCTCACGAGTTCAACAACCTACCCTCACGAGTTCAACAACCTACCCTCACGGGTTCAACAACCTACCCTCACGAGTTCAACAACCTACCCTCACGAGTTCAAGAATCTACCCTCACGAGTTCAACAATCTACCCTCACGAGTTCAACAATCTACCCTCACGGGTTCAACAACCTACCCCCCGGGTTCAACAACCTACCCTCACGGGTTCAACAACCTACCCTCACGAGTTCAACAATCTACCCTCACGGGTTCAACAACCTACCCTCACGGGTTCAACAACCTACCCTCACGGGTTCAACAACCTACCCTCACGGGTTCAACAACCTACCCTCACGGGTTCAACAACCTACTCTCCACGGACTGGCTACTAGTCATTCCCTCACTCTGCCCGTCTTGTACCTACGTGTGGATTAATAAAGTCGAGCCTAGTCTACGGCCGCACCTGTGCAACCTACGATATCCTTTCGGCACTAAACCGCTGTTCAACACCAAGAACAGCATTAACAATAGGGGAGTTTAACAAGAGAGCTGGCCTTATATAGAGAAGCTTAATAAGAGAGCTGACCTTATGTAGAGGAGCTTAATAAGAGAGCTGACCTTATATAGAGGAGCTTAATAAGAGAGCTGACCTTATGTAGAGGAGCTTAATAAGAGAGCTGACCTTATATAGAGAAGCTTAATAAGAGAGCTGACCTTATGTAGAGGAGCTTAATAAGAGAGCTGACCTTATGTAGAGGAGCTTAATAAGAGAGCTGACCTTATATAGAGAAGCTTAATAAGAGAGCTGACCTTATGTAGAGGAGCTTAATAAGAGAACTGACCTTATGTAGAGGAGCTTAATAAGAGAACTGACCTTATGTAGAGGAGCTTAATAAGAGAGCTGACCTTATATAGAGAAGCTTAATAAGAGAGCTGACCTTATGTAGAGGAGCTTAATAAGAGAGCTGACCTTATATAGAGAAGCTTAATAAGAGAGCTGACCTTATACAGAGGAGCTTAATAAGAGAGCTGACCTTATATAGAGAAGCTTAATAAGAGAGCTGACCTTATGTAGAGGAGCTTAATAAGAGAGCTGACCTTATATAGAGAAGCTTAATAAGAGAGCTGACCTTATGTAGAGGAGCTTAATAAGAGAACTGACCTTATGTAGAGGAGCTTAATAAGAGAGCTGACCTTATGTAGAGGAGCTTAATAAGAGAGCTGACCTTATATAGAGAAGCTTAATAAGAGAGCTGACCTTATGTAGAGGAGCTTAATAAGAGAGCTGACCTTATATAGAGAAGCTTAATAAGAGAGCTGACCTTATGTAGAGGAGCTTAATAAGAGAGCTGACCTTATGTAGAGGAGCTTAATAAGAGAGCTGACCTTATGTAGAGGAGCTTAATAAGAGAGCTGACCTTATATAGAGAAGCTTAATAAGAGAGCTGACCTTATGTAGAGGAGCTTAATAAGAGAGCTGACCTTATGTAGAGGAGCTTAATAAGAGAGCTGACCTTATATAGAGAAGCTTAATAAGAGAGCTGACCTTATGTAGAGGAGCTTAATAAGAGAGCTGACCTTATATAGAGAAGCTTAATAAGAGAGCTGACCTTATATAGAGGAGCTTAATAAGAGAGCTGACCTTATGTAGAGGAGCTGAGGAGATATATGAGAGGTGAGTGTATATAGCAGAGTTTATAACAGCTGTCTGTATAAAAAGATTTTTATGAGAAATGTCTAAATGTTTATTACTCATTAATTTGAAACTCTTAAATACTTATTAATTACCTAGATACTTATTAATCATCATTTTTAACACATATGTGCTAATTTATCATTATTTTTAAAACTAAATGCTTATTAATCATTATTATGAAATAGCCATAGATTTATAAGAGAGCTGGTTGTATATACAATATATTTATATGATGTCTTAAATGCTTATCAATCATTATTTTAAAACACCTTAATACTTATTACTCATGATTTTGAATTATCTCGATACTTATTACTCAAGAATTTTGAAATTTCTAGATACTTATTACTCATGATTTTGAATTATCTCGATACTTATTACTCAAGAATTTTGAAATTTCTAGATTCTTATTACTCATGATTTTGAATATTCTAGATATTTATTAATCATTATATTGAATTACCTAGATATTTATTACTCATTTTGAATTACCTTGATAGTTATTAATCATCATTTAGTATCACATACCTGCTTACTGATCATTATTTTGAAAAAAAACTAAATGCTTATTAAAACCTTATTATGAAGCAGCTCAGTTCTTATTAATTTTTAAATTAAATGATTTATTTTAAAAACTGAAATGTTTATTAATGATTTTGAAGCATCTAAATAATTTTTGATCGTTATATTGAATCAATATTTTGAAGCTTATTAATGCTTATTAATCATATTTTTGAAACAGTTACATCTAAGGTCAGTCACAAGGTCGCATTTAAGTCACTTAGGATCAATTTGGGTCACATAGGGTCACGTAGGATCAATTTGGGTCACATAGGGTCATGTAGGATCAATTTGGGTCACATAGGGTCACGTAGGATCAATTTGGATCACATAGGGTCACGTAGGATCAATTTGGGGCACATAGGGTCAGGTAGGATCACTTTGGGTCACATAGGGTCACGTAGGATCAATTTGGGTCACATAGGGTCATGTAGGATCACGTTGGGTCACATAGGGTCACGTAGGATCAATTTGGATCACATAGGGTCACGTAGGATCAATTTGGGGCACATAGGGTCAGGTAGGATCAATTTGGGTCACATGGGGTCACGTAGGATCAATTTGGGTCACATAGGGTCATGTAGGATCACGTTGGGTCACATAGTCACGTAGGATCAATTTTGGTCACGTAGGGTCAGATAGGATCAATTTGGGTCACATAGGGTCAGGTAGGATCAATTTGGGTCACATAGGGTCAGGTAGGATCAATTTGGGTCACATAGGGTCACGTAGGATCAATTTGGGGCACATAGGGTCACGTAGGATCAATTTGGGTCACATAGGGTCAGGTAGGATCAATTTGGGTCACATAGGGTCATGTAGGATCAATTTGGGTCACATATGGTCACGTAGGATCAATCTGGGTCACATAGGGTCATGTAGGATCACGTTGGGTCACATAGGGTCACGTAGGATCAATTTGGGTCACATAGGGTCACGTAGGATCAATTTGGGTCACATAGGGTTATGTAGGATCAAGTTGGGTCACATAGGGTCACGTCAAATCATATTAAAGTCACAAAGGATCATATTTGGGTTACATTTATAGCATTATTTGATCTTAGGTAGGTCTCTTAACGTTGGGTCACAAAGGGTAACGTTTGATTCACATAGGTTAACGTTTGGGTCACATAGGGTAACGTTTGGGTCACATAGGGTAACGTTTGGGTCACATAGGGTAACGTTTGGGTCACATAGGGTAACGTTTGGGTCACATAGGGTAACGTTTGGGTCACATAGGGTAACGTTTGGGTCACATAGGGTAACGTTTGGGTCACATAGGGTAACGTTTGGGTCACATAGGGTAGCATTTAGATCATATTTTCCTGGTTGACCAGGCAAACAAGTCTGGCTTTGGTCAACTTATCAAGGAAAAGAGAAGATCTGATGTCAGTAACTATAGACTTGTTAGTGTACTCATTGTGATGTCTAAGAGATCTAAAAAGTTCCCTGTGAATGAAGCTACAGAAACTACGAGTGAATTTCTGTATTGGTTAACATTAGTGTACATATTACTGTAAGCTGATTATCTATAGTATTCATATAAACAATTTATTTCTCTTTCTTCCAATTGTTCCTGTTTACCGTAACTGATTTTTCACGCAGCTGAGCTACTTAGTTGTTTTAAATTTTAAGGTTATAATTATGAATGATTTATATTGTTTCTTAAAGCTAAACTTTTAATAATGTAATGATTAAAAAGACTCCATTGGAAATATATATCACTTCGTCTGACCTTTTTTGGGATTATCCTTGGAAATATACACATACGTTACTATTGCTGGCTGCACGCAAACCAACGTACGAGCCACAGCCCGGCTGATCCGGAACTGACTTTAGGTGCTTGTCCAGTGCCAGCTTGAAGACTGCCAGGGGTCTGTTGGTAATCCCCCTTATGTGTGCTGGGAGGCAGTTGAACAGTCTCGGGCCCCTGACACTTATTGTATGGTCTCTTAACGTGCTAGTGACACCCCTGCTTTTCATTGGGGGGATGGTGCATCGTCTGCCCAAGTCTTTTGCTTTCGTAGTGAGTGATTTTCGTGTGCAAGTTCGGTACTAGTCCCTCTAGGATTTTCCAGGTGTATATAATCATGTATCTCTCCCTCCTGCATTCCAGGGAATACAGGTTTAGGAACCTCAAGCGCTCCCAATAATGAGGTGTTTTATCTCCGTTATGCGCGCCGTGAAAGTTCTCTGTACATTTTCTAGGTCGGCAATTTCACCTGCCTTGAAAGGTGCTGTTAGTGTGCAGCAATATTCCAGCCTAGATAGAACAAGTGACCTGAAGAGTGTCATCATGGGCTTGGCCTCCCTAGTTTTGAAGGTTCTCATTATCCATCCTGTCATTTTTTAGCAGATGCGATTGATACAATGTTATGGTCCTTGAAGGTGAGATCCTCCGACATTGATCACTCCCAGGTCTTTGACGTTGGTGTTTCGCTCTATTTTGTGGCCAGAATTTGTTTTGTACTCTGATGAAGATTTAATTTCCTCATGTTTACCATATCTGAGTAATTGAAATTTCTCATCGTTGAACTTCATATTGTTTTCTGCAGCCCACTGAAAGATTTGGATGATGTCTGCCTGGAGCTTTGCAGTGTCTGCAATGGAAGACACTGTCATGCAGATTCGGGTGTCATCTGCAAAGGAAGACACGGTGCTGTGGCTGACATCCTTTGTCTATGTCGGATATAAGGATGAGGAACAAGATGGGAGCGAGTACTGTGCCTTGTGGAACAGAGCTTTTCACCGTAGCTGCCTCGGACTTTACTCTGTTGACGACTACTCTCTGTGTTCTGTTAGTGAGGAAATTATAGATCCATCGACCGACTTTTCCTGTTATTCCTTTAGCACGCATTTTGTGCGCTATTATGCCATGGTCACACTTGTCGAAGGCTTTTGCAAAGTCTGTATTATTACATCTGCATTCTTTTTGTCTTCTAGTGCATTTAGGACCTTGTCGTAGTGGTCCAATAGTTGAGACAGACAGGAGCGACTGTTCTAAACCCATGTTGCCCTGGGTTGTGAAAACTGATGGGTTTCTAGATGGGTGGTGATCTTGCTTCTTAGGACCCTTTCAAAGATTTTTATGATATGGGATGTTAGTGCTATTGGTCTGTAGTTCTTTGCTGTTGCTTTACTGCCCCCTTTGTGGAGTGGGGCTATGTCTGTTGTTTTTAGTAACTGTGGGACGACCCCGTGTCCAGGGCTCCCTTTCTCCATAGGATGGAAAAGGCTCGTGATAGGGGCTTCTTGCAGTTCTTGATGAACACAGAGTTCCATGAGTCTGGCCCTGGGGCAGATTTGCATGGGCATGTCATTTATCGCCTGTTCGAAGTCATTTGGCGTCAGGATAAACATCGGATAGGCTTGTGTTAATCAAATTTTGTTGGCTCTCTCATAAAAATTCATTTTGATCTTCGACTCTCAGCTGGTTAGCGGCTTGCTAAAAACTGAGTCATATTGGGACTTGAGTAGCTCACTCATTTCCTTGCTGTCATCTGTGTAGGACCCATCTTGTTTAAGTAGGGGCCCAATACTGGACGTTGTTCTCGATTTTGATTTGGCATAGGAGAAGAAAATACTTTGGGTTTCTTCGATTTCATTTATGGCTTTTAGTTCTTCCCGCGATTCCTGACTCCTAAAGGATTCTTTTAGCTTAAGTTCGATGCTTGCTATTTCTCTGACCAGTGTCTCCCTACGCATTTCAGATATATTGACCTCTTTTAGCCGCTCTGTTATTCTTTTCCGTCGCCTGTAAAGGGAGCGCCTGTTCTTTCTGTTTTACATCTACTCCTCCTTTTTCTTAGAGGAATAAGCCTTGTGCATACATCGAGTGCCACCGAGTTAATCTGTTCTAGGCATAAGTTGGGGTCTGTGTTGCTTAGTATATCTTCCCAGCTTATATCGGTTAGGACTTGGTTTACTTGGTCCCACTTTATGTTTTTGTTATTGAAGTTGAATTTGGTGAATGCTCCCTCGTGACTAATCTTTATTATGTCGGTTGGGGCTCCGCGCATACATGACTGAACCTCAATTATGTTGTGATCTGAGTATATTGTTTTTGATATGGTGATATTTCTTATCAGATCATCATTTTTAGTGAGATGAGGTCTAGTGTTTCTCCAGTCTAGTAGGCTCTATTATTTGCTGGGTTTTAAAATTTAATTTTGGAGAGATTTTTAAAACTCGCGTGAGTGTGAGTTTTTATCAGAGCTGCCCCCTGGGGTTAACGCAAAAAATATTATTTGCTTATTTTCCCCCATTTTGGTGCCCTTAAATTTAAATCCCCCAGGAGCAAGATGTTGGGTGCAGAGCTGGAAGGTTTTCCCGACAAATGGTCAATTTTTAACAGCTGT